ATCCATCCCTTCCAGGAAACTTGAATTTAATGAACATATTTCAGTGTTCAAATATAAATTTTTATTCATTTTTCTTGGACTTTAGTTTCTTTTGTCCCATGCTTATTTCTTGGGTTTCTATCCTCAGTTCTTTATTCAGGAAGTAATGAGGCTCAGAGGAATCTGATGATTTGGTCACCCATATAAAAATAGTTGACAGAATTAGAATTTTAAAATGTGGAGATGTTTTAAGTGATTCCTTGTTATTGCCTTCTTATTACCTATAACCGTCTTGCAGCTATGGATTCTTGTGATTTGAATACACCTAATTAAATTTATATGAAACCAACTCTTTTGGGACATGCTTTTTTAAAATGTGTATTGTACATCTAAAATAGATACACACAAAGTAGTTAACAATAGCAAACACTATTACAGTGGTCAGCTACTGTTTTATGTATTTTAACTCACATAATTTTCACAATAACCTCAAGAGGTGGCTGTTATTATTATCCACAATGTGGAGATGAGGCAATTGTAGCATAGTGAGTGTAAGGAATGTGCCCGAGGAAACTTACACAGTGCTAAGTGGGATTGCAAGGGTTGAACTGTGACTCTGGCTTCAGAAATCTGTGTACCACATTATGCAGAAACCGGGTTTCTTCCAGTTGAAATAATTCAAATAGTTTGATAGACTTTGTTACACTAGGGGGTCTTATTCATTGGTTCATTTCAGAGACTAGGACACATGCTGATAAATGCTCACTTTATTATTTCTATCAATTGAAGTTGGCTGAGGGAAGAAGTGGTTGGAGTTTGTATATATTGTATGATACCTGTGACAATGGCATAACTTCTTATTACCTAAGTCTGTTGTCATATTTCATTTTAGTTCGCCATGTTACTGAAATGGGATCCATGTGTCCTCAGGGTCTTATCTGAGGGAACAGCATTTATCTCTTCAATATAAAGCTATAGGTTTGGTGATAGTGGCAAGAATACTGTAGTGGGTAGCCATTACCTTCTTCAGGGGATCTTTCCATCCGGACCTGGATCTCCTGCATGCAGGAGGATTCCTTACCAGCTGAGTCACCAGGGAAGCCAACTATAGAAAAATTTGAAGAGAGAGATATACAAGGGAGATATTCTACTAGATAAATGGAGGGAGAAGTAAGTAGGAGGAAAGGGATAAAGAGACCTTAATAGAATGGACTGAGATGGAAAACTTTTGCTCAGAATGCTTATCAAAACAATAGCAGGGAGCCATGCAAAATGTATTTTTAGATAATAATCGTGAAGAAAATTTCTCTTTTTAACCAAATACAGCTAATTATATGTTTAAGATATATATGCTTTATTATTAAAGGGAGTAGAAAAACATATACTTGTTTGATGAAGGAAGAAAGAGTGGTTTGAATATTGTACATTATTTCCATAACAAACATGTTCCAGCATAACTACATTAGGCATTGTGGTTAGTTGTTTAAATATATTCTCATTTAATGTTTACAATGACCCAATAAGTAATACTCCATTGTCTCTATTTTACAGAAAAGAAAACTGTGACTCAGAGAAGTTCCACAAATTGTTTGAGGCCACACAACTTGCTCAAGGTAGGATTGGGATGCAAAACCCAGATACCGAAAATCCACTCTCCTAGCTTCCTGGTTACACTTGTTATATGTTTGGAATTCAGGGAGTGTGTATAGAGCAAAAAAAGCAAAAGGGAAAGAAAAAGATTCATCTGTTGATTAAACCTTTAGGCTTCAGAGGAGAAACAACATTACTTTAGTGGCCATACCAGCAACAGTATTTATTCTGAAGAAATGAGAACCAAAGACATGTTATGCATGTCCTATTAATACATCAGTTATTTAACAATTTCAGTAAATGCAGTATTCTCTTTCTGCTTTTCCTGCCCACCTCATAGGCTCACACAAGAAAATATTCATTTGTATATATATATATATATATACATTAATATCTATATATAGTAGACTATGTATATATGTACTCATGGCCAAGCTGCGTTCCTATTGTTGAAGTTAAATTGTATATGCAAGACTGTTTGATTTCTTTCTTTTTGAAATTATTTACCACAGTTGTTTTCAGGGAACCTCCATCAAGCAAATAGTTAATACGTTATCTAGCCACCAAAAACAGGCTTTTAAAATATCATTGGACTATAAATTGTTCACATAATTGAATCGACACTCATGGTGAATAGGTTACTTTATGTCATATTAAAACCGTGAGACAGAAGAACGAAAACTCCATAAGGTACATGTGGATGGGTTTGTTGAAATCAAGGCAAATAAAATCTTTTATTGGCTGAAGAGCTTTTTTTCTCTTTTTTTTAGAAAAAATATAGTGTAGAAGGAGTATATATTTTTCTCTCTAAATTCTCCCTTGTTGCTTAATTATTTTGAGGCCATTTGTTTTTCATGAGATTTATAATTTGTAGAGACTGGCATTTGACAAGCACACATATTTTGATATAGATTTATATCAAATATTGTCCCTTGTCTTTATTAATGTAATCAATTATTATATTTGTAAATTAAGCAATTAGAATAAAGAAAAAGAAGGAACGAGGAGAGGATACTGGCTTGTTTAAAGGTTTTAGGAAGTTCTTTAAAATTTTAAAAAGTATGTCATTCAAAAGAAAGATAATTTATTTAGAATGTTAAAGAATTATGTATATTAAATCTTGAGTCAATAGTTCAATAGCCAGTGGGTGAAAATTGGGAAAACCAAGATATTCTTAAAATTAAAAGTTTTCAGATTTATTAAAATCTTCTCACAGCCCAGAATCCCTCTAAGTAGTTCACTGTAAGAGATGAATTATATAATTAAATTAAAATTTGTTTTGTTGTCTATATTATTAATCTTAGTAAGAAAAATGTACACACTGATTGAAATGAACCAGGGGAGAAGAGGCTAGTTGAACTTGGAATTTGGGGGAATTTTGCTCCCAGCTCTGTGTACATAGGTGAATGATACTGTATATATTATTTGGAGAAATAAGAAAATGCTGAAAATTAGTTACATGGTAAAAAAATCTAGAGATAAGTTGGACTCCTAATTACATGAATTTTACCTGATATGAAAAGCATCTCATCTGATTTCTATAAATATCTATGGGGGAAAGGTTAATCTCTAGTTCACAAAAGAAAAAATTAGAATGCAAACTGGAGGAAATTAACAAAAAAGTTAGAGCTCTAAATACACAGTTGTTATGAGTTTAGTGTGCTTAATGGAATGCTATCAAGCACATGCTCACCTAAGTAACAGTAAGGTTGAGAAATTAAGCCTCACACCTAACAAAGAATCAACAAAAGCAACAGTTTGTGATTTGTATGCCCAGAAAAAATCTTAACATTTTCTGAAAAATAGAGAGCCTTTAGATGCAGTGGGAAAACAAAAGAAAAGCAAACAAAAATCTTAATAAAGTATAAATCCAAAGTTGAATTCTGAAATAAACTACGTAAAAATTATTGGTTCTCTTTAGGATTATATTTGAATTGTTTGCTTAAAACCACAAACAAACAAAAACAAAGATCTTCCATTTCCTTTGAAGACATTGAATTATGTCAAGCATAATTTCTCAAAAATTATAGGGGAAAGGAATGTTATTTACAGCCTGTAGAAAAATTACTCTGGAGGAAGGATGAATTCATAGGTAATGTTCCAAGTTTACTTTGATTTTCTCTTCTGCTCAGATTTTACCCTCATGTATCACTGAAAAGATTAACAAAGCTTTAACATATCTTCATTGACAAATGAGACAAAAATTCAACTAGCATGACAACAATTTCCAAATGGGAGAGTAACCTACAAGTCTAAGACAGGAAGAGTATCATTTCTTCTACAGAAATTAATTTTTGGATGACATGACTGAGAAATAGGGTTTAATTTAGAGAATTTGTGGTGTTTAAAGAGGTAAATTTTAGATTACATTTCTTCTGTTAAATAGGCATTAGAAACATAATCTTCTGCATTAGTATATGCACTGGCATATATAAAAGTCCATGCTTTAAATGACTGACATCTACTACATAAAAGGCACAAGTGCCTCACTCTACCTGTAAACACATATTTGTATTTTCATTCCAGTCTTATTAATAAAGTTTTTTTGTTTTTCTTCTGGGGATAGTGAAAAAATATATAAATACTACATCATTATCAAAGTGGAAATACCTAGATTAATAGTATGGTAAGATTTTTACCCATGGAAAGATGGCCTTACACACAGTAGTTAATATTATGTAAAGTATGCACTTTCACATTCATTGAAGCCCCAAATCTCTGATAGATGGTGTTGGAGCCAGAATGCAAAATTCACCGAGAATGGCAGGTTGGCCAGATAAAATACTATTATGAGCTAATTGCAGATGGTATCCTCCTACAAGATCAAAACAGACCAAGCATGTGGGAGGTTACAACTTCACAACTTGGGCAAGTCAAGGACATTCCTAAAGAGGATTAACAGAGGAAAACGTGTGGGCTAAATAGAATAAATAATAACTGCTCAAAATAAGAATATAAGATTACACTGATAATTTCACAACAAATGCAAAATTGTTTTCAAATTAGCAAGGGAAAATGTATACCCTTAATTCTGATATTCGGTTACTACCAGCCTCATTTACAGACATCACAGTCTTTTTCTTAAAATTTCAACTTGTCACTTGCATATAATCAGGGTTCTCAGTAAAACATAGTTTCCAAAATGTTATGGTTAACAGAGGAACTGGGTTGTGTCATGATCCCCACACTGGAAGCTGGGTAGTGCCATAAAACCCCACACTATTTCCCAAAAGCTCACATAGGAATTATGCTAGTAATCGCCAATGCGTGCATATCTAATCGTTTCCATTTTTATGAAAAAGATAGGAGATTTATTCACACGGTCCTCTATTGACAATCACAGGTGCAAGTAAAGGGATCAAAGATGGGGTTTCTTGTCTGTTTCACAGTAAAAGTCAGTATCTTGTGAGCCTTAGCTCTCCTCTGCAGGGCTATCTCACTTTCTGAAGCTCCTGTCTCAGCCAGGATGGCAGAGGCTGGCCCAGTCTGTGTAACAGTTTGGACAACTCCACATTATGATCTCGGTAGTAATTAGAGAGGAAGGTTCTAGACTGAAAGCAAAAGGAAGACAAAGGAAGTTATTAGTTCGTTAAATGAGGTTGTGCAAATTTATTAAGAAATTCTATGGCACTGGGACTGAATATAAAACAGGCATTTCTTTCTATATTCCCATGGATGCCATTTATTTTTACCTTTAGGAAAGATTTGACAGAAGTAAAGTTGCAAAATAAAAATGGGTCCAGGAATAACTTATATATCTTATTTTTCCTAGAGCATTTGGAGAATTAGCTTTTTTGAATTTTTTAAACTGAAGTATAATTTGACTTACAATATTATATCAGTTTTGAGTATACAACATTGAGTCAATATTTTTATACATTAAATACCATCTGTCAGGGAGGAGGGCATGGCATCCCACTCAATATAAAGCACACATTTATTGAGGGACTGATGAAGAGGTTGATGAGAGGCATGTAATACTAAAGAAGAATGAGGTAAGTAGGGACCAGATGTGGCACAAAATCTACAGAAAAGAAACACCTCTGTTTATGAAGTTGGTCATTTTCTGTAAAATTGGGTCACAATATCAAGATAATCAGTCAACATAATCATAAAAGCTGAATTTCATGATTAAACAAATAACTTGCCATGTTATAAAATGCTTTCTATATTTATTTAGTACCAAAACAGATTTTTTGAAAAAACCATTAAGCTTTTATACTTCACAAATATTATAAGGTCTTATTATAAAGGTCTTTATAGTGATCTTTCCTGGGATTCTTACGTTCCTAACCAAGCTGGAGTGATTGGTAATTTTTAGATGAATGGCTGAAAAACGGATTATAAAATATATCTGTGGTTTTAGTTTATTTTATTCCAAGAAGACAAAAAACTTGTAAATGGGTTTTTTTCTCTGGATGTCACTTATCTCATATTAGAACCCATTTAACATAGTTCTGTGTCTTTTTGATAAAATAATAGAGGTGAATGTTTTTCCTGTGAAATATAGGCAGCCATTTCCATTTGGTCAAACTTACACCATCTCTCTTAAACCCTTCCCAATATTTTAGCACAAATTAGTTTCTTTCTTCCAAAAATTCCCTTAGCAACTTTTGTATACTGTGGAAATGGATTCAAGATAGCTACTTTTTTTGTACCATTCACTAGATTTTTCACTACATTTCTTCCCTTCAAGTGGATTGTGAACACTTCAAATTCTGGATAAGATGTTTATAGAAGTAGTGGAGTCGTTACATTGATTTCTTGGTAGATCAACGTGATTTCTGAAGCCTTTTTGAAATTATTGGGTTCAAAGGTATAGTTTGAGGACCTTCTGGTTCTTCTATTTCCATAGTAACGCCTAATCACTTCCATCCTCCTTATGCCCGCACTGTCTTAAGAGAGATAAATCATTATATCTGCTCAGTTGATTGCTAACTAGTTTCCCAATCCTTCTGTCTCCTCATACCAGAACTTTGACTGATAGATTTTTCTCCCCTGCCTTTTTGCACTTTGATATTGTTTAATATATTTTATTATAAACAAGTGATCATAACTACTCTCCTATAATAAACCTAGGCTCATAACTATTTTATCCTGCATCCTATATGTGACATTTTGAATTATAATAAGAAATATATAGTTGGTCATTGACTTCATTCCTGGCACAAGGCTCACTTGGAATTTCCTAAGTCGGATAGTGATAAAGGTATACTTTGTTATGTTAATGAGGTGGCTTTTTGTTGTTGTTGTTAAGTCACCCAGTCATGTTCAACTCTTTGTGACCACATGGACTGCAGCATGCCAGGCTTCCATGTCCCTCACCATCTCCTGAAGTTTGTCTAAGTTCAAGTCTATTGCATCGGTGATGCCGTCAAGTCATCTCATCCTCTGATACCTTCGTCTCCTTCTGTCCTCCGTCTTTCCCCAGCATCAGGGACTTTTCCAATCAGTCACCTGTTTGCATCAGATGACAAAATACTGGAGTTTCATCTTAAGCATCAGTCCTTCCAAGGAGTATTCAGGGCTGATTTCCCTGAAGACTGACTGGTTTGATCTTGTTGTCCAAGGGACCCTCAGGAGTCTTCTCCAGCATCACAGTTTGAAGGCATCAATTCTTTGGTGCTCTGCCTACTGTATGCCTCCAGTTCTCACAACCGTACCTAGCCACTGAGAAGACCATAGCCTTGACTATATGGACATTTGTCGGCAGAGTAATGTCTCTGCTCTTCAACACGCTCTCTAGGTTTGTTATAGCTTTCCCGCCAAGAAGTAAATGTCTTCTGATTTCATGGCTGCAGTCACCATCTATGGTAATTTCAGAGCTCAAGAAGAGGAAATCTATCACTACTTCCACCTTTTCTCCCTCTGTTTGCCATAAAGTAAAGGTGCCGAATGCAATGATCTCAGTTTTTTTTTTTTTTTTTTTAATATTTAGTTTTAAACCGGCTCTTTAACTCTCCTCCTTCACCCTCAAGAGGCTGTTTAGTTCCTCTTAATTTTTTGACATTAGAGTGGTATCATCTGGATATCTGAGGTGCTTGGTGTTTTTCCCTGTGGGACCTGACACTCTCTCTCTCTGTAGACAGTGTCAGTATTTTGTTGAGTTGTGGAGACCCAGCTGGTGTCTGAGCCTTGCTTGGTGATATGGAAAAACCTCCCCATCACATGTTGTAACTGTTGATCAGAACAGTTTACTGTCCATGGCTCAACTCAGTACCATGCATGGTATAGGCACTGGATATACGTATTTAATATGTAACAATAATACTTATTTATTTTATACAAAATCTTTGTTTACTAGATTATTTGTTTGAGCCCTTTACACATTTGGAAAGAAGTTACTGTTCAGTATTTATATTTGAATTGCATCCCAACAGCATACAATTCCCATAAATATCTACTAATCATCTCTATCTGTTGGTCTATCACTCTGCTAAATATATAAAACTTGATAGCAAAGAAAGACAAGAAAAAGGTATCAAATTTATTGTCTACTAATTTTGAAATAGTTGTATATACAGGGTTCTACTGTAACAGGAAAGGATTAATTCTGACTCCATTTTGGAACTGTTCCTTTGACTTGCTTTCCATTGCTTTTGTCATTATAATCTTACATTATAAGATTCTCTGGCCTGCCTCAGAGAATCCTGCCCCTCTGCATGACTGTTAAACTAAAGTGCCTTTGTGTAGAACTCCATCCACCTGTAGATGGTAGGAAGAAATTAACACATCCCTCTGCCTGAGGCTTGCCACTCTAGGAAATGTTTGCAAGATTAACGGCCTTTTTACTTTGTTTCCTCACTTTCTCCCATCTCTGATCCATAAAAGAATCTGGCATCAAGACCCAGATAAGATGGTCATTTTGAGATTGTTAGTCTGCCATCTTCTCTGTCAGTCAGCTTTTGGGATAAAGTCATATTCCTGGTCCCAACACCTCCTTGTTCAGATTCATTGGCCTATTGTGCTGCAAGCAGAGCATGCTTGGTCTCAACACTACCAGAGAATTTCAAAGATAAGGAAAATATTACCTCTGGATCCATGGGTGGATACCTTCGACCTTTGCTTTTTCCAAGGCATTTGGTCTTTCCTCCTTCCAGTAGTTGACACCAAAAGCCCTTTTGGGGATCAAAACTATAAAAGATCAAAGATATAAATGAATATAAAGATATAATGATTATAAATTATATACAGAATTTTGAGAGAAACTTACCAATTGTGCAATGGAAATGCACTTTTATATACTCATTGCTTTGATTTAATTTAATTCAATTCTATAAATATTCATTGAATCAATTTGAGAGAATTTAATTGAAATTAAATAAATTATATGTTATATATTTTTTAATATTTCTAATGTAATGAAAAAGGACATATGGATATTTAGTCTTTTCTTATGATGAAATTATTGGGTTTTTATATCTTACCTATTCATCCATAAAAGATCAAGGATGAATCAACAAAACTACAATCATATATACAGGATTTTATAATATTTATTTTCTTATTTATGTGATTTCCCTGTAAAATATATTAGCAAATTTCTTTGAAATCATTCAATAGTATATATTAAGGTGACAATATAATGTAAATATATTTCTTTGAATACAACATGAATTTTAAAGCTTCTAAGAAAAATACTAATTTTTTTTAACAGTTCAAAACATTTACACTTTTCAAGGATGAAATTAAAAGGCTAAAGATATAATTCACTATATTTTTCCAGAGAAAATAAGACACGGGTTATACAAATGGTGTGGAGAAGGCAATGGCAACCCACTCCAGTACTCTTGCCTGGGAAATCCCATGGACGGAGGAGCCTGGTCGGCTACAGTCCATGGGGTCGCAAAGAGTCGGACATGGCTGAGCAAATTCACTTTCACTTTTCACTTTCATGCACTCGAGAAGGAAATGGCAACCCACTCCAGTGTTCTTGCCTGGAGAATCCCAGGGACAGGGGAGCCTGGTGGGCTGCTGTCTATGGGGTCGCACAGAGTCGGACACGACTGATGTGACTTAGCAGCAGCAGCATACAAATGGTGAGTGGAGCATTAGACAACTCTTCATTTCTTTTGTTGAAGGTGAATGATTCTATTGGTTCATTCAGATCTTGATACTCATAAAAAAAATTCTAACATTGTTTTGCGTCCTTGGCTGCACAAAGTTACAAAAGAAAGAATGTGTAACTTAATTATTTGTTTAAACTCAGATATGTAAGAATTTTTGTTTAGGACTAACAAGATAGGAAAAAGGAAAGAATAAACCAAATAGGAAGGGAAATTTTAAATTTACTGCTAAGGGAATTGCTGCATGCATAAAACATCGAAAAGGTTTGCATTTTTGTTGCTCAGCAGATGTTTTAGAAGGATGAAGCATAATTGACTAGGATGTAAAGTTAATTAGTTGCAGAATATTTTGTTGCCCTGGGCCCATTCCTATAATACCGATGCACCTGCAATTTGCTTCTGCACATATGTGAACTCATTTAGGGGGAGAGGGAAATTTTCTTCACAGTTCCCTGCCCAATCTATTATTAGAGACCTGATCCGCACAGTCCAGGTTGTCCTAGTACAGGTTATCAATTAAAATTAAATACATCACTGGGTAAATGGATAAAAGGAAGACAGAGTCATTTCCAACCTGGACATTTCCAGTCTGCATCTTGCCTATCATAGGCCTTTCTTTGGTTTTCATTAATTTCCCAAGAGGAAAAACAATTTGGCACGCTGTGCAAAATGAGATGGGGGGAGGCGGCATAACGGTGCCCCTAAACAGCATCTCTGCCTCAGGATGAGAATGTTTAACTGCATTAAGGTAAAATACAGCTTTGGCAACCAAGCCAAGATATTTACGCTCAGAAAGCATCTCCTCTGCTCTCGGGTGAGCAGAGGTCTCAGGGCGGGCTCCCGTCTCTCTCACTTTCCAAACAGCTGTTATGAGGCAGAGCTTAATATGATCTGAGGAAGGAGAGCCATCTAGACTATTGAAAGTCATTCTTTTAGATAAGGCTGTTAAAACCTTGAGTCCACATTATTTTGTTGTCCTGGTATCATTTATTGCATTGACAATGTTATAAACACGCAGTCTAACAAAGGGCATTTATTCCTGCTAAGTTATATCAATTCCTTGTTTCATGGTTTGGTTTTAGTAGGCATGAAATTATGAAATTAAGATGCAAAGGCTTCTTCAAATAACTGTTAGATAACTTTGAGGACATGAGTTGGTTGCCACAAGAGTTCTTTTATTACACTGAACATCACTGTAGTTATTAATTTTTGTGATGTGTGAGACATATTAAAAACCATACATTCTGTACTTGTTTGTAATCTCTTCTTTAAAAGTATGATTTTACAGGTTTATTGAACCATAAGGAACTATTTGTAGTAAACAGGCTAAAATCATGCCCTGAACTAGTGCAGGGAGTCAGGGGAGGCCATGCTTACATCGGTGACTCTTCATGTAAATATATTAGAGGACGCTCTGTCTGCTTAATCAACAGGGGCCATGCCGTGTGTTATTTCCATGTGTAGGTAAAAACTTTATTAGACATGTTTTAGTAGATAAGGAAAAATGCAATCTTATTACTGCTTTCCCTGCCCCTCCATTACCCTCTCTAATTGTCTAATTGCTGATTCTAATCTGCTGTGAACTGGGAAATTATGTAATCAGGCTTGTTAAAATTTTGCCTAAAACATAATAGGCTTTATATCAGGCCTCATGAAGGAGTCAAGTACATGACCTTTTAAATGTATATTTTGACAGCTTGGAGCTTTTGCTTTTGTTTGTTATTTTGCCTCTTTCCTTCTTTGTTCCATTTTTAATTACCCAAAATACCTGATTTTATTTCCCAAGCTGACTGCAACCATAACCCCCTCCCCACCTCCATTCTCTTCTGCAGGATGCCCTTGCCGCTCCCCAGCAAGAGGAGGAGGTTCCTTTCCCTCCCTGTGGGTTTGGACTGGCTCTAGTGACTTGCTTGCAATCAACAGAATATGGTGTAAGTGATGCTGCATGACTTGCAAGACTAGGTCAGAGAAGGCCTTGAACCGTGTTCCCTCCACATCTCATTCCCTCTCAGAACACACAGTCACTACCAGGGGGTGGGAGTGGTAAACAACCTGCCTGCCAATGCAGGGGACCTCAGAGACTCAGATTCAATCCCAGGGGCCCTAAGATCCCCTGGAGGAGAGCATGGCAACCCACTCCAGTATTCTTGCCTGGAGAATCCCACGGACAGAGGAGCCTGGTGCGCTATGTCCATGGGGTTCCAAAGAGTTGGACATGACTGAAGTGACTTAGGATGCTCACTGCAAGAAAGCCACCCAGAGAGATTTCTTCCCATTGAGCTCAGCTTTGAGCCATCCAGTCTAAGAGCCAAAGATGTGAGTGAAGAAGCCTCCAGAAAACTCCAGTCTCCAGCCATTCAAGTCATACCTAGATATTCATGTCTTCCCAGATACGGTCCCAGCTATTTTGAGCAGAGACAAGTTGTCTTGGCTATGTCCTGTCTAAGTTCCCAGCCCACAGGATCCATGAACATACTAAAATGGCTACGGTTACATGCTGGTAGGTTTTGGGAGGTTTACTGTACAATACCAGACCACTGCAATGTTATACATGATTGTAGTTGGTTATACACAATGTAATAAATACAGAGTAAACATGAATGTATCCCTTTCCCAATTCTGACTGAAATACTACTCATTTTCACAGGGCTAACTGTGGCCATCAACATTTTATTTCTAATGTGCAAATTACCTGGGGATAAAGATCATCTGTTTCACCTCTGTAACCTCCATTCCTAGGACACTTTCTGCACAGAGTAGGCATGTAAAACATTTACATAAACTTGTGTTGGGAAAGAGCTCACAAAAAGGGAAATTTGTGACATATAAAATGGCCATAAGGTGTTCTATAGGCATATTCTTATGCCGGTAAAATATTCTTATTCGAAAGGGACGTACTACATGAATAATGGGGACATTCCTTTGACTGCTTTTGAGAAGCATAATGATATATAAATTCATAGCTAGTATTAATGATGCTATATACACACCTACCAGTGATAATTTATGATGGCAAATAATGGAAATGAAATCAAGCATGAGAACAGACTCACGTTAGCGCTTCAGAGTAATTATAATGAGGTGTAACTCCCAGAAACTTCTGGACTTCATCCATCACAGTAGCTGGGTCAGATCTCAGCTGCTGTCCATCAATAATTAGCAACTGTAGAGTCAAAAACAGTCACTCTATGAAGAACAAAGCTATATTAGGTAGACTGAGCTGCCTCCCTTGACCTGGTAGGATGTTAATCAATTAGATCAGTGTGAATAGAAAGAAAATATTCACTCTTTAGCATACATATGCATGTTTACTATTCTGCTGTCCTTCCAAATAAAACAACAAAGTTTGCCAAAGGCATTATTCATAACCCTTAACTAACGTGATTGTAAATCAGAAACAGACATTGACACTTTCTTGATTCAGTAGTGAAGTAGAAACATGATTTTCCATCTGTTTTGTAAGCAGGTAATTATCCAACCTATGAAATACCATGAGTTAATCTTGGAGTGAAGGGCTTAGAAATAATGGGCATACAGATGTAAATTACCCATCTATTATCCTTACAAACCATGACAGAGAACTCAGGTTTTGGTTGTGAGCCAAACTGGAATGAAGAAGATAAAGGATGTGGACACTTTCCTCAAATCCTTATTTCCTGTTCTATCCCAGGTTCTCTCCCATGGTTCTATCCCAGAGCTTTTACAGTACTTCTCATTTTGACAGTCTAATCCATGACCTTCTTTTCTCATAAGAGTTCCAAGGGATAGGTGATGCACGGGTATTTGCACATGGTGTTCAATAACTGTTCCATTTAACTGGCGGTTCTGCTATTGGTTACTCTCTATGAAGCATGTGAAGCCTCCTGTGTGAGGACAAGATCCCAAATACGTGTTTCATAGTCACTTAATATCGTAATACTACCACTGCCTTTAGAAGTGTAAAAATCCACACTTCTTCCTTAGGTATGATCATCTCTGATAATAAAGTGCTCTCTGTGGCAATGTTAATTTATATTTTCTGTGTGCCAGTGCAACACTATCATGATACAATAAACAGAAGAAATTCATTTCAGGACATTACCTGAGAAGTAGCAAAGTAAGTGAGCCATCTTTCTATGTGGACTGCATACCATCCAGGTATTAGACATCTCCTCTGCAAAGTTTTCAGGTCAGATGGGGCCCAATGTCCTGTTGTGATAACTTCATAGAAATTAAACCTCAGGGCAGCTGGATCTTCATGTGATCTTTGGTGCTTTAACAAGAAAGTCAGTTGTAAAATCAATCTTCTTTATGCCTGCAAACGTATGTGTGCCTGAATGTGTTTGATGTGTGGATGAGTGTGTATGTCTTTTATTCCAAAAAAGTAATGACAAATGATTACTTAATTTTAGAATGAGAAACAAGGTGAAACGTACATGCTATATTGGAACCTAGGCATTGGCATAAGGCTTCCATAGAGTATAAGCCTTCTATACATATCAAGTGGCATTCACATAAGCCTGTGGCTGTCTTCACATATAAAATATTTAGATGCAAGACAAGAGACAGTACAAGGATTTTCTCCATGGATCTGATTAGAAGTGAAAAGATGTCAGGGCCCAGATGAATCAAGCCTGATGAAAAGAGATTTCAACTGGCGGGGGTTGGCCGCCACATTACTGTGCTCTTATTTCATTGCGGCCACTCCGGCAAGTTCTGACAATTCCCCAATATCCCCGTGTGGCAGGTGCCATGTCTACAGAGAAGGCAGGTGTCTATAACGCTTGTTTAGTGTCACATTCACGTTGATGTTGCCCCAGGCACTATGCTTTTTCCCTCCCAAAGGCTTCTACCTAACTCTTCTAAATCCTAAATATGAATTCACTATGCTGCTTTTTAGTACCAAATCCTCTGAGTCCTTCACATCCAACGATCACTGGTCAAGTTCAAAAGCCCAACACAAGTCAATATAATTTCATAAGCATTTATCAAGATCTTTGCCAGAACAAAGACCTTCTACAGATTATAGAGATAAAGAGATATAGGTAAGACAAAATGCTATCTTCAAAGAAATAAAAACCTTATATGGAAAACAACACATTAACAGATTGTGATAAAGTCATATGTATGATAGAGGTATAAGTTATTTGTTGTGATAGCCAGACCAATAAATGATCAGTTCTGAATGAAATATGAAGGTGTTTTTTTAAAGATTGAAGCTTTTGAGCTAAAATGTAGTGAGATTTTGATAAACAGAAACAAGTAAATGTGGAAACAGGAGAACTTTAAATCTGAGTGAAGATGAATGAGGTGTGTGGGAATGGACAAACTGCTTTTGCAAGATATCTCAAAGTGAACTTAAAGAAAATTTACTACAGGATGAGTTTGGAAGTATATTACAGCCTGATAGAATTATGTAATAGCAGGCCCTATATATGTTAGAAATAAAAACTACTAAGAAAGCAAAGATGATTAACTGGTGGATGGTTAAAGAGTAACTAGTGAGTGGTAGTGGGAAAGGAAACGGCAACCCACTGCAGTGTTCTTGCCTGGAGAATCCCAGGGACAGCGGAGCCTGGTGGGCTGCCGTCCATGGGGTCGCACAGAGTCAGACACGACTGGAGCGACTTAGCAGCAGCAGCAGAAATGAGTGGTAGATCGGTAGAAATACAACTTTTGAACCTCTCTCATAATTGTATATTTATTGACCTTCTCTGTAAATGCTACATACACAGAGACTACATAATATATTTACTTAATATAAGATGTAGAAACAACAAAATTTGAATAAATATAAATATACTCTGTGCATTATTAATACAGTAATGCTAACATTTTTACTTCACACTGTGATAATATGGAATTGTACTTATTCTGCTTTATATTGACTTACACCAGTCTAGCATCAACTTTTTTTATATTCATGCAACAAAAAAGATTAGCATAAAAATATGACCTGAAGTCACAAAGGAACTGGAAAAAATAGCACTGCAGGTCCTCTGTGAGGCCCATTATAAAAATGTGTGGTAGAAATTATAGTGGCAGGTGATGTTTGTAGGAGTTTCTGAATTATACCTGTCGAGCTTCAGATTTATGGTAGTTACTGAAGAGGGGGACTGGCTAAGTAATAGGTTGCATTATTTTGAAATGTACAGTGGTCTGGGAACCCTACTCTTAGCAATATAGCAGCAAAAAGTATTATCAGAAAAAAATTATTCCTTTCAAATGTGTATGTTCAAAGAATTTACTTGAAAAAGGAGGCATAGATTCTCTCTTTTTAGAAAATGGTTGAATCCATGTGGAAAAAAAAAAGATTCGTATAAATGTGCTCTGAGTAGTGATCGTGATTTCTGCCAGGAAAATGTGCAATACTTTGCCCCAGGTATTCACATTCAAAACATTTCATTAAGGCTTACCATCTCAGTATTTTTGGCACAATTAAAAAAATTATCTTGATTTGCAACATGAATTTTGATAAAGTGAGAAAGACATTTTTCTATCTGGAGGGAGTCACTGACTCATGGATTCTACTAATAATTTCTGGATTTTTCTCCCAAGACAAGTGTTCCACTTTAGTACCCAAACTCTTGCAATCTCAGTTTGCAGAACCATATTTTTCTGCCCCTTGCTATTTGTTCTCAGCAACATATGTTTATTAAAGAAATTTTGAAAAGCCAAGAAAAAAAAGGGAAAAGAAAAATTACATGCTCTTTAAAAATGTCATTACATGTTTTCTTTTAATCTTCTTTATTTTGGCATTAATTTATGTATACTCTCATATTCATTGGTTTTTAGTACATATAGATTGTTATCACCATACACTCAAAAGCATCTACTTTAACTAGGTGTTCATTGCAGTAGCCAATTTTACATTTCTCTGGTCAAATTTATCTTACCCCCGTACCAAGGTTTCACACCTCTCTTTTTGCTCCTCAAAGTACTGCTTTCCAAATTATCCCTCTCTTTTTCCTAGGTTAATTCATTCTCAACTTTCTAAAATAAAAGAGACAATCATAGTCACTTTAATTTCTCTATCCCAGACCTCCATATTTACCAGCATGTACATTTATACACTTTTCCTCACTTAAGTTTCAGTGCAGGGTTTCTTAATAGATACCCACTGATAGAATTCAGAGGACCTAAGAACTTGGATCTGTAATAAAAAAAAGAAGAAGAAAGAAGATGCTTCTTTATTTTTAGTAACATTTAAATAAAATTTAGTAGTTATTGTATCTGTGATTTTACCACCAATAAGAATCAATTCTTTTGCATCACATTATAGGTCTTTCAGTTCTATCAAAAGTTGTTTATGCTCATCACTGCTTCAAACAGTAGTATTATCCCCAACATTAGATCTTGCCATTTAATGATCTGTTACTTTTAAAAGTAGCAAATTTGATAATTATACTTTTGATACGTCGGTATATGCTGATTTGATAATTATACTTTTATGCAGTTGTTTCCTTTGTAATATTATATAGTTTAATGCCTTGAAAATACGTTTCTAAAATAGGGCACATAGACTCATCTGACAGCCAGAAGACCCAGCACAAGAAAAGTGAGACTCTGTAAATGGAGAGCTGCCTCCCATCTAAGCTGTTTCCTGCCTTTGTGACTCAGTCAGTAAAGAACCTGCTTTCAGTTTGGGAGACCTGGGTCTGATCCCTGGGTTGGGAAGATGCCCTGGAGAAGGGAAAGGCTACCCATGCCAGTATTCTGGCCTGGAGAACTCCATGGACTGTGGGCCACAAAGAGTGGGACACCACTGAGCGACTTTTTTCACTTCACTTCACCCTTGTGATAGGAAGTTCTGGTCCTCCCAGCACTGATTTCCCATTTTCCTCTGAGGGGCCTTTAACAGCCCTCTTCCTTTGAAAGTTTCTCATTATTATTCAAATCACCACCACACAAAACCGTTCCTTGACCCACCCAGACTGCTGTATATGGATTCTTGTTTGTTAAAGGTTTTACTTCCTCCCCTGTCTTTCGACTGAGAGAATAATCAGGCCTTATTTTGCCTGATTGTCTGATTTCTTAGCAGCTGTCGGATCCTTCATTTGGTTGTGCTCTTTTCCTGGTATTTGGTGTCATGACATTGCTGGGCTTTTTCTTCTACTCCTCTCTGGCTGCCTCATTCTGTTCTATACTTTTCTCCTCTGAACATTTTCCTCAGATGATTTCACCATTTTTTTGTGGCGTTTGGCCTCTCAGTCGCAAATTTCCATCTCCTGCTCAGACCTCTCCCCAGAGTGCCAGCGACCTCTACTATTGCTTTTGGTGTGACAGTGATTCCGTGACCTCCTGACCTCCATCTATGTCACATCTTTAGCCCTCCCCACCCCCACACAATGCCTGTATCCTTTTTCAGTACTTTTTCATGGGAATACATGGTTATCATCTAGTTGCCTGGACTGGAAATTCGAGTTATTCTTGACACTGTTTTATAACCAGGTTCTATTGATTTCAATCCCTAAAGATTTCTTGCTACTTTATGCCTCACCTAGTTTCTACTTCCTATTTTTGTCCTTGTTACCACCATTTCTCAGCAGGACTAGTGCTACAGCCTCTAATTCATTTCTCTGCGTGGTCATTTCTTCCACTCCAATCCATTCTTCAAAGATCAGAAAGTATCATATTTTCTAAAAGAAATTCTGGTAGGTACACACTGGCTTAACACTTTTAAAAGGCCTTTGATCACTCAGGGCTTCCCTGATAGCTCAGTTGGTAAAGAATCCACCTGCAATGCAGGAGACCCAGGTTGGATTCCTGGGTTTTCCTGGGTCAGGAAGATCCACTGGAGAAGGGATAGGCTACCCACTCCAGTATTCTTGGGCTTCCCTCGTGCCTCAGTTGGTAAAGAATCTGTCTGCAATGTGAAAGACCTGGGTTCAATCCCTGGGTTGGGAAGATCCCCTGGAGAAGGGAAAGGCTACCCACTCCAGTATTCTGGCCTGGAGAGTTCCACGGACTTATATAGTCCATGGTGGAGTGACTTTCACGTTCACTTCACTTTGATTGCTCAGGGAATGGTAGCCACTTGATCTCCCACTTGGCTTCCAACTCCCATGTGCCTCTCAGGCTCATCTCCTGCAGCTCTCCTCCTTAGCTTTGCTCTCTAATCACATGGATGTTTTTTGGTTCTTTGGTTGTGCTGTGGTTCTTTGCACCCAGTGGATGACACATGGTTTCTCTCTCATCATCTCCTCTGCCTCACTCAGTTAATACCTACTTGGCCTTCAGTTTTAAGTCTATAGTTTATTTCTCCAGAGAGTGCTCTTTATAGCATCTTCCATGCTTCCTCACAGTGCTTTCAAAATTTCTAATTATATATATATATATACTTATTGGATTAATATCTTTATATATTAGGATTTCCCTGTAACTCAGACAGTTAAGAATCTGCCTGTAATGCAGGAGACCTGGGTTCGATCCCTGGGTTGAAAAGATCCTCTGGAGAAGGGAATAGCAACCTGATTCCACTATTCTTGCCTGGAGAATCCCATGGACAGAGGAGCCCAGCAGGCTACAGTCCATGGGGTCTCAAAGAGTCAGATATGACTTGTCGACTAAAGCTACTATTCACATATTAGAATGAACACAATGTTTTAATTATCATTCTATGGATTAAAACTGGCATTAAATGCTGAAGAAGACTCCATTTTGGTGTGACACAGTTCTATATTGTTGGATATTTACTTTTCCTTTTGTTATTATTGTTATGATTAATACCTTGATGAATGAAAAAGGATACATATTTTTAATCCTTTTGAGGTTTTCTTATGGGTGCTTCCAGAAGAGGAATCGTACCACAAAAGTATCTTTACAAACTGTTTGATAACTGTCATCAGTTTTCAGAAAATATCTCCATATATATCCTTCTGTTGGAATGCTTGAGCACCTTTATTATGACACCTCTGTCAGCAGAGAGAATAAGTATGACAGGATGCTAGGATGATATTTATGAGTACCATTTTGATTTTATATTTTAATGATCAATAATTGGGTTGTCCATTTTTACACAAAAATTGTTGTGCAGTTGGATTTGTGTGTGTGCGTATGTAAATTATATATCTATGTCTTTTGCTCATTTGCTCATTTTTCTATTTATTTTTAACAATTTGCAGGAATTTTTTTTTTTTTTACAAATTAAGGGAACTAAACCCTTTACCAGGTATTGCTACAGATGGTCTACTTAAATACTTAAGTTTGTTAATTATGACAGACCAACATTTTACATGTTTATATGGTTCAATCTCTTAACATTTTGATTTTTTTCTATTATGCTTGAAATTCCTTGCCCAAATTGATATGAATTAGATATTAGCTCTTATTTCTCATAGTTTTTGCTTGTTTGTATAGCTCTTTTAACATTTTACTGTTAAACACATCTGGACTTTAGTAATTCACCATTACTTACATTCAAGTTATGACCAAATGCTTTTAACGATATTTTTTTATTGCTTCGTACCTGGTACCAAGAGTATGCCCTATCCGAAGGGTCAATGAGGATGGTGATGATCTTGGCTTTGGGGACCAGAGATGCAGCTCGTTTGGGAGCCTCTTCTGAATGGAAGTAATTAGCACTCTTTTCAAATAGAAAGTCACTTGTAATATTGGATGGAGTAGGAAAAAAGTCCATATACCTGAAGGCAGAGAAAGACAATCAATTAATTTGAGGTCTAATTGTTTCCTACCATACTATGGATAGGAAATTATTTAAACATTTTTACATTCATTTATATAAATTTGTAATTATTAATGCTAGAATAGCTAAAATAGAGACTATTCTGTACACTCTCAAAGTGAAAACAATCCCAGGTTTTACTGTTCTAATGGGCTATTTAGGGCAGGCGAAAGAGTGAGATGAAATGGGTAGGTTGCTAAGGAACAGAGGGAAAATTCTTTAGATTTGGGTTGATGTTCTCTGCTATTGAAAGCCAAATCTAAAAAAATTAAGTTTACCCTTGGCAAACAGCAAATTACACCATATTGCCTAGTAAATATTTTAAAATAGTAAATTTATGTTTGCACACTTGAATGCTAAATTCTTAAATTGAGATTAAAGTGCACAAAAGAGGAAAATGTGTAAGTCAGAATAGCTATAAAATACTAAACAGATTAGGGCATAGTTGCTTTCCTCCTTTTTAACTTCTGCATAATTTGTAGTGTGTATAGCAATGTGAACACATTATAGTCTATCTAGAGTAATTAAGGAGATATTTCCTGCCGGTTGATCCTGTGGAGCCTCGGCAGGTTCACCCCTCCATATGCTGTCAGAACATTCCTCTGCGTGTAGATTATAGAATCAATATGTTCAGAGGTTAATTCAGTGCAAGGCATTAATTATGTGTGTAACCCTCCTTACAGCTCACCACTTCTCTAACCCTCAAATGTTCTAGAAATAAATAATGAGAACAATTAAGAATTCATATGAGATACTTATTTTCCTCTTTGACATTTGTTATTATGTTTCCCAAATGCGAAGTGGTGAAAAGTCTCATCTATATTCCTTCTTAACAATTTGCATTCCATTTGAGCTCACAGATAGAAAATTGCTGCTCTGCTTTCAGTAACTTGCATGCAATTTCCAAATTCATTTAGTCTTTTTAAATAAGACAGAATAGTGCTATCCTAGGTGCAGAGTGGACATGTCAATACTCATCATAGGAACTCAAATCTGCTCACTGCCATCGCCTTGGCCCCACTCTCATCCTAGTTGCGTCCTAAAAGAATGAGCTTTTCATAAGGACAGACTCACATGTGATGTTGACATAACACTACATGCTATGTGCGTGTGTGCTAAGCTGTTTAGTTGTGCCCAACTCTTTGTGACACTTTGGACTGTGGCCCACCAGGCTCCTCTGTCCATGGGATTTTTCAGGCAAGAATACTGGAGTGGGTTGCCATGCCCTCCTCCAGGCGATTGTCTTGACCCAGGGATCCAACCCACATCTCCTTGGTCTCTGCATTGCAGGCGGATTCTTTCCCACTGAGCCATCAGTACATGCTACCCAGGTATGCAGTGAGGGGAGTTTACCTCAGGGGGAATTTGCCTTATATACTTGGGATTTGGAAATCAGGGCCATATTTCCTTAGAAAATTGGGACATGGCTAGAAAAAAAAAACCAGAGTGAACATCAGTTACAGTATCAGGTTTATTCTGTTTTAGTTTAGGGGTAATATTGTGATTTTAAAATTTTCATAACTTATTAAATACAAAGTAATTTTCCTCTTATGTACTTGTGTGACTAGCATTAATATGGTTTTAGAAATGCTCTGGTATTTGCATGACAAATACCAGCTTAGATTACAATACATTTACCATCTATGTGTTTAATGAAGATACAAGTCACAGAGTATAAAATAAAACAACCTATTGATTTATTTGTTTTCTCAGGCATCATTGTGAAGACAAATTATGTATTCAGTAAAAAAGATTCTAGACTCAGTGAAATAATAATATGCTTAAGGAGAATTTTAAATATCCTTATGAATAATTCTGATGAAAATATTCCATAATCTTCTTTATTCAATCATATTAATTTACCAGAAAAATATTATCATTATTGCACTGTCCAAATCAAATTATAGGCAACACTGATTAAACATATTATAATTATAAATTAATTTCTAATTCACTATGGTAGAATTGAACATAACAACTTTATTCTGTAATTATGTAGATGCCTTGCATACACCTATAATTGCTCATCTGTGAATGAGCATGTGCTAATAATGGGTTTTGTTTTTTGTTATTTCTCTTACCAGTCAATTCCCTTGTGGTAGTTGTTTCCATTAAAGAATTGGACTTCTTCAAATGTTTTGGGACTGGGGAGATTGCTGATGATGGAAGGGTGCATAAGAAGAAATAAATAAAGTGCTGTTGTTCCTATTATAAAAAAAAAGAGAGACCAAAGGTTATATAGCAATAAAAGACAAGACAAATACTTTATTATTATTATGGGTGGAGGCACGTGGAGTAGCATGTGTGATTTTAATTTCCTCAACAAGGGATTGCATCCAGGCCCCCTTGCACTGCAAGTGCAGAGGGGTGACAATTGGACAACCAGGGAAGTCCTTAGACAAATATTTAGCAAAATTTTTGCTCAAAAAGTAATATGCAAGACCAAATCATTCCAGTGTCAGAATGATTTCCTAAAAATCAGTTAAGTGCATTTCATGTGGCAATGATTTGTGTTCTTATATTAGTCTTCATGATTCTATCGACTGAAACACTTCATTTAATCTGAGTACATATTCAAAGTCAAGCAGGTTGATACAGCTAGGGGAGAAATTCAGAAACTAGGTGATTAGATTTCCCTCCCGAAGTCAGATGAGTGGCTAAAGTATCAAAGACATCCAGCACAATGCTTGACCCTCAGTTAATACTATGTTCAAATCAATTAATCAAACCATTCAACAGATGTTGACCAGTGCAACTCTGAACAAGTCACTGTAGTAATGATTGGTGATAACTCTTGATAATAAAAACGTATTTGCTGACCTCAGTAGACTTTAAGTGTATTTGTGGATTTGAGTCATGTAAACAGGTGAGGGAGGTCCCATGATGAGAGAAGAGTAGAGTGCTTTTCCAATATATGAGAAAATGGGGAATTTAGACTTGGGCAGTCAGGGAAGGCTTCCAGGAGGAAGCATTTTCTAAGACTGTAGCTTAAAAATTGTAAGTATTTCCAGTAAGGCTGAAAGAGGGGTGCGAGACTGTGGAAGACAGCCAGTTGACTGTCCTACCCTGACAAGCCTGATGATGAGGCACGAGGCCGGACAGACTGGCTGACATCAACCACTGAGTGGGTGACATCACAGAAGGCGCGAATGTCACATCTAAACCTAGGTGAAGGCAGAAATTGAGGGCCATAGCAGGAAGGACCGTGAAATGACTGGCTCTCATAAATCAAAACTTCCCTTATGGAAAATGTTATTTCTTTTTGTAACATGGTGCACTCAGGAGACTTTGTTAGATTTCCCAACCCTAGGAGAGCGTGGAATGAACTGCACAGGTGGACTGGCAGAAAAATAATGATAGCAGCTGGGGATCTGGAAGCAGAGATCACAGAGAATCGTGTAGATAAAGAAAGTTACAATAGGTCTTAAGTCACCTAAGGAATCCAGAATGGTGGCTCCTAGTGAAATGGGAGGGCAAAACTTAATAAATGCCCTTAAGGAGATTTCATTTTTATAGCATATAAAATACCATCATCCAATTTCTTTGACTTGTTTGTTCATCTTGGGAAAGCTCAAACCAGCTAAAAGCTTTATCATTTCCACACTGGTAGGTCAATATGAAAATCTAAAGCTATAAGTTATTGTCTTTATCAATACAACCAGCAAAGAGGAAAACTAGACTTATACTTACTAACCTGTAGTGTTCTAGTAGAACTAAGAAGTAGTAATATTCAATGAAAAATTATAGAAGATATGATTTTAAATTAAAATTTCAACATAATTTTACAACATAGAAATGCTTTCTTTCTTAGTCATCATTCCAGTGTTAGAACAGCTGTGAGGGAGTTGGTAGAAAATTAATGAACATTTTAAATAACAAGAACAATAACAAAAGTGATATATATGAAAATACGTGCTGCATTTTTTCTCTCCCTGCACATGTGTAACTTATTGTTGCAACACAATTTATGTTCCTGGAGGAAGAAAAGATTTCAACAACCAATATCTAATAGTCTGGAAATTTTGCCCACAACCCTTAAAATGATCTACTTGCTTGTATTACAAATATCTTCATCTGGGCCAGGCTTATTTATCGTGACTGTTTGTTTTGTGTTATGGTTTGTGCACTCACTGATGAAAATGCTTCTAGTCAGAGTTGTGAATTCAAAATACAGCAAGTCAATAAAAAGTTTAATTAATCAGGACATGAGCAAAGCATATAAAGCTGTCACATGCTGAAGAAAGTATAAAATAGTCTAATTGAAAGTGTCATCTCATTGGCGAAATACTGTCACTCTCTTTTACTACACTGTTATACACATGTCCTTCAGCACATGAGAAAATATCATGGGGAAAAGCTGCCTAATAAGCCTTAGGAGCATCAGAAAATAAATCCAAACCATATGTATACATAAAGATTATTTGAAAACAAACAAACCACACAGATAGAATATTTGAAGGTGATAGTGACAGTGGTTCTGAAAAAAAATCAACTCAAGGTTGATATGCAGTATAAAGTAGCTTGAATCAAGCCAAAGTTCTCTTTTAAAACTTAATTCAGCAGTTAATTAGGCAAAGCCACAAAAAAGGGTAGAAATTAAAAATCAAATACCACAACTGTGACATATAAGCTCAAAGTTGTCAAAAATGTGTTGTCTGTTGAACAGCTTTAAAATTCATACTTAAAAATTTAGTCCATAAGACTTCATAAATTAAATGAGCAACTTTAGGGTCCCTTTGAGGATCATGGCATAAAGATGATCCATAATGATGAAGAGAAATTCAATAATGAACTTGAATGGCTGTCTAAATATTTCACCAAGGCAAACTTAATCAAATACTATATGACATTGTGTTTCATGACAAAACAAACAAATGCAAAAAACCCACAAACTGCACAGATGTCTTACCTGTTTTTTGTGGCCCGATTACAAGGAATTTTGGTAAGTGGTCACAAGTTTTCTCTCTGGACCATATGTCTTTGTGTCTTTTATCATCACATGGATTCTGCAAGAAGGAAGAATAATGAATCTTATTGTGTAATCAATACCTGGCTCTGTTCCATAAAAATTGTTCAAACCACAGGATCAAATTCTTGCCTGATACCCTCAAGCTAGGTGTTAGACCTTGTTCTGATTCTGATTTTCAAATTGTTTCCTTCTAAAATGGCACCTTCCTTTCCTTCAAGGATAGAACTCTGCATCAGGTCTCTCCTGCCATCATTCTTCTCAGGCTTGACTTGGTGTTCTAACTTCTGAGATTCCACCCTACCTCTGATTTCATGTTTTATGTCTGTATACCTGATCCTTAGCTTGTCTCTACCTGGTTTGAACTCAGGTTTTCAGATATCTGTGCTCTGCCCTAATTATTCCTACTTGTTTTTCTCTAGAGGGCTGGAAAAAGTCATCCTTGAAGTCTGGACTTGGCCAACTTTTTCTTCCCTTTTTACACTATATGCTATTCTCTGCTGACTCAGGTAATCTCATAGTTCAGCCATATCCCACAAGCAGATACCATGTAGATCATTATTTCTAGCCCCTACTTAGCTCCTGAACAATAATTTAAGTTGTGTATATGTCATTGTTGCATAGACATGGTGAGGAAATGAGCCAACATAGCCATACATCCAATTTTATCCCCATCTCAACTTTCTCTTATACCAGCTTCCATTCTGTTCAAGTCTAGAGGCCCAAATTTGCCATCCAATTCATGACATTTGAGAATTAAGAGTCCTAAGGACTTCCCTGGTGGTTCAGTGGCTAAGAATCCACCTGCCAACGCAAGGGACACTGGTTCAATCCTCAGTCCGGGAAGCTTCCATGTGCTGCAGGGCCCGCGGCCCGTGCACCACAGCTTTCGAGTCCGTACGCTACAGCCCATGAGCTGCAACTACTGAACTCACGTGCCACAACGACTGAAGCCCGTGTGCCCTAAAGCCTGTGCTCCACAATGAGAGATGTCACTTCCATGAAAAGCCTGCACACTGCACCAAGAGCAGCCCCCGCCGGCCACAGCTAGAGAAAGCCCGTGCAAAGCAACGAAGACCCAGGACAGCCGTAAATAAATAAATAATCTTTTAAAAAAGGGTAAGTGATAGTGATACCATTTTTAAAATATCTATTGACTGACAAAACGGTTTTATTATATTGGTAATCTAATTAATAAATATATTCAAAAATTATTTTCACAAAATTCTTTCTGAAAAACATATGCTGACCATTAAAACAATGATAATTTTACATTTATCATTCAAATTTAAAAGTGGCATAAGATAATTAAACATTTATGGTTCATATTTATGTACTTAAATCAGTTTTTTAAAAAAATCCGTATCTGCTCTAATACTATGTCACCCAAGTTCCTCTGAAGAATGTTTTCACCAAACCAGCCAAGTTTCAGGAGCCTATCGCCTTGGTTGGATCTTAGAGGCCCCGTGGCCTGGAGCATGTGCTGACATTGCCTTCCAAAGTAAAAGGTGAGTATTGTACTTTGCAATTCCTACTACTAAGACAGAGGGGCTTCCCTGGTGGTTCAGACAATAAAGAATCTGCCTGCCATGCAGGAGACCTGGGTTTGATCCCTGGGTTGGGCAGATCTCCTGATGGAGAGAATGGCAACCCACTCTAGTATTCTTGCCTGGAAAATTCCATGGACAGAGAAACCTGGTGGGCTACAGTCCATGGGGTCTCAAAGAGTTGGACACAACTGAGTGACTAACACTTCCACTTTCACTAAGATAGAAGCACAAAGCTTGATAGGCTTCTTTGGGTTTTGGACACTTTTTTTTTTTTTTTGACCTAGGAAATACTTCTCTGAGTCACCGACTGAATGATGCAGAAACCTGCTGGTTTTGAGTGGAAGCCAGAACAAGAAAGAGCCCTGCAAGAAGTAAGTCTGAAGTCTAAGTAGTCCTCCCACTTGGGCCATGCACGGTGGCAGACCTATGGTACCATGGCCTCTATGGTATATAAGGACACCAAGCAGAGTTTTGGTCAAGTCCCAGGGGAGAATCACAGTGTTTAAGGTTCTTGGACTCTATGGGAAAAGGCAAGGGTGGGATGATCTGAGAGAATAGCATTGAAACATATATATTATCAAGTGTGAAACAGATCGCAGGCCAGGTTGGATGCATGAGACAAGTGCTCAGGGCTGGTGCACTGGGATGACCCAGAGGGATGGGATGGGGAGGGAGGTGGGAGGGGGGTTCAGGATGGGGAACACATGTAAATCCATGGCTGATTCATCTCAATGTATGGCAAAAGCACTACAATATTGTAAAGTAGTTAGCCTCCAACTAATAAAGATAAATGGGAAAAAAAAAAAAGGTTCTGCAGCACATCATTCAAACAGTGGCTCCTGGTATGCTACTGGGCCCTGGAAGAGATTATGTTTGTCATGGATTTTCAAAGTAATCATGTGGTCACAATTCACTATCATAAGTTTAATACTGACAGACCAACCAAGTCATAAGTCCAAGTATACGCAGTAGCTATTCATTATAAGATGGAGTGATACAGCTGGAACTGATTTCAAGAAGATACAAAGGCTACAAGTAAACTTTACAAGTAAATGCCCAGATCCCATGTTACCTATCGTGGTCTCACTGATGCCTGTATATCATGTCCATTGATTCAGTGATGCCATCCAACCATGTCATCCTCTGTCATCCCCTTCTCCTCCTGTCCCTAATCCCTCCCAGCATCAGGGTCTTTTCCAATGAGTTGGTTCTTCTCATCAGGTGGCCAAAGTAATGGAGCTTCAGCTTTAGCATCAGTCTTTCAATGAATGTTCAGGAATGATTTCCTTTAGGATTTACTGGTTTGATCTCCTTGCAATCCAAGGGACTCTCAAGAGTCTTCTCCAGCACCACAGTTCAAAAGCATCAATTCTTCAGCACTCAGCCTTCTTTATGGTCAAACTCTTGCATCCATACCTGACTACAGGAAAAATCATAGCTTTGACTAGATGGACGTTCATCAGTAAAATGATGTATTTGCTTTTTAATATGCTGTCTAGGCTTACAATAGCTTTCCTTCCACTTTTTGGATGGACGCATAAAGTGACCAAAAATTGTTACGATCTTTGTACTGCCCATGAATGTCCATACACCAGAGAGTATCCAGCGTAGAAGTGCTGCACAACCCAGCAGTCAGATGATTCAGCCAGTTCCCAGCATTCCCACATGTCACTAACCTCTGTCCTTGGCCAGTCCAGCCCTGAGACAATGGGTATATGAATGGAGGATCTGTGAAAGCAAGTTGGAAACCATTCCTGGGCTTCCTTTCCCCAAGTCTGCTCTAGTTACAGCCACTGCCGAATACCTGACCTGTCAACAAGAGACCACTTCTAAGTTCCAGAAACAGCACTCTCCTACCACTTGGTAGAAAATTGATTATGTTGGACACGTCCTTCCTGAAAAGGGCAGAGTGACTCATCCTGATCCCAGATGGAACATATTCAGAGTACAAATGTGCCTTTCCCAGCATACATAGTCTTGACCATCATCACTACACATGGCCTCAAGGAATGTCTAACTCACTGATATGGTAGCTCACATAATATTGTTTTGGGTGAAGGGGACCACTCTTGACACGTGGAGTGTGATAGCAGGCTTCTGCCCATGGGAGTCACTGGTCTTATCAGCCTCACTGTCCAGAGATACTGACCTGATAGAGGGGTGAAAGACCACATGAAAGAGGCAGTTGAGGTACCAGCTTTTAGATACACACCATACCTCTTAAATTAAAAGCTATTGGTTGGTTCTGTGTCTCCATAGAGTAGTATAGTTGTGTCCAGGAATTAAAGAGTGGATGTAGGAGTAGACCCATTCACCATCACTTGCAGTGGCTTACTTGGAGAATTTGTGCTTTCCATCTTACAACTTTAAAGTCTGTGGGTCTAGAAGCTCTGGTTCCTAGAGAAAGGAAGGGCCCAAGCAGGAGGACCAGGAGGAGGATCACCACCTAAACATTGCAGCTTGTGTCCATTCACTTTGGACTCCTTGTGTGTGTAGACCAGCAGGCATGGAAATGAATTACAATCCTCACAGGGACAATTGACCCTGATCACCATAAGTAGAACCACCACTATACAGGGAGAAATATCCTTGGTGTTCAAATCACTAGGTTAGTTGCTGATACTTCTATGCCAATTCTAACTATAACTGAGAAAGCATGACCACCACAGCCTGATTAGGGCTAGGTTGGGCACCAGACCAGAGTTTACAACAGTATACTTTATAAGTTCAGTTCAGCTGAGTTCGGTTCAGTCGCTCAGTCATGTCCGACTCTTTGAGACCCCATGAACCACAGCACGCCAGGCCTCCCTCTCCCTGTCCATCACCAGCTCCCGGAGTTTACCCAAACTCATGTCCATTGAGTCAATGATGCCATCCAACCATCTCATCCTCTGTCATCCCCTTCTCCTCCTGCCCCCAATCTTTCCCAGCATCAGGGTCTTGTCAAATGAGTCAGCTCTTCACATGGCCAAAGTATTGGAGTTTCAGCTTCAACATCAGTCCTTCCAATGAACACCCAGGACTGATCTCTTTAGGATGGACTGGTTGGATCTCCTTGTAGTCCAAGGGACTCTCAAGAGTCTTCTCCAACACCACAGTTCAAAAGCATGAATTCTTCAGCGCTCAACTTTCTTTATAGTCCAACTTTCACATCCATGCATGACTACTGGAAAAATCATAGCCTTGACTAGATGGACCTTTGTTGGCAAAGTAATGTCTCTGCTTTTTAATATGCTCTCTAGGTTGATCATAACTTTCCTTCCAAGGAGTAAGCACCTTTTAATTTCACGGCTGCAATCACCACCTGCAGTGATTTTGGAGTCCAAAAAAATAAAGTCTGACACTGTTTCCATTGTTTCCCCATCTATTTTCCATGAAGTGATAGGACCGGATGCCATGATCTTGGTTTTCTGAATGTTGAGCTTTAAGCCAACTTTTTGACTCTCCTCTTTCACTTTCATCAAGAGGCTCTTCAGTTCTTCTTCACTTT